AGTTGCCACAGAAAGAGCTGTCCTCTTTGCTTTACAAACGATAGAAACATCAGCTCCGTACCTGAGAAGAATTTTCACATTTTCTGTTTTTGTTATAAGCTGCCGCACTGATTAATGGCGTTACACCCCAGACGTCACAGGTGTTCACATCAGCTCCTGCCTTCAATAACATCTCGAGTACATCAGCAGAACACCTATTAGCAGCATGTAACAAAACTGTTGTATTTTCTAAGTCCATTTCATTCACTGGCATATTAGCTTCAATCAATAATTTCAAAATCTTTTCATAGTTTTCCGGTTGTTTCAGCACCAGGACCATGTAGGCTGTATAACCATGAGGCATATATTTGGGTAGTAAATTTTTCGCTGAGCCATTTGGAAGACCATTTGGAACACCATGATGCTCATCTCCTCCATGTTCCATGTGATTTACACTAGCACCATGTTTCAACAACAGTTCCACAGTCCGGATATGACCATACTCGCACGCTTTCATAAGAGGTGTATAACCCATGCAGTTTTGATCATGAATGCTTGCTCCTCTTTCAAGAAGCTTCTTTACTAAATCATCATGACCACCCTGAGCTGCAAGTATCAATGGTGTTTCCTCTGAGCCATTTCTTGCATGAACACTTACTTTATGATCCAGCAAGAGGGAAACACAATCAAGATGACCATTGGTAGCAGCCATGTGTAAAGCAAGTTCAAGGTCATCCTTCAATAATTCCCCATACTTCCCATCTAGAGCATTTTGAACAAATGTGATATCATTGCAGCCAGCTGCTTCGTAGATTTTCCTGAAAACAAGCAATTAAACAGATTTACAACATTCTAACATGCCTTGTGGCTTTGTCATATATACAAGAAGAAAAAAATGGTAGCCTTTTAAGGCAATAATAATAACATATTTTTATTGATATTTTCCATTCACACAGGTTTTATCCATATAAGTTAATATAATCTACATTACAAAAATCTAAGGCAATTTAAAAGCAGAGTAATGACATCACCCAAAGTACAAGTATACAAAACATTCATAAAGACACTGAAATGACATGGGTGGGGATGAAAATTAATTTATCAGGCACTGATGTAAACACAATACAATCCAGTTTGACATGTAAGTTTTTCCTTATTATTTCTTTTGTTTAAACATTTTTATACCTTAGCGACAGATGGGTGTGAAATAGAACAGCCTGATACCAAAATCAACAGCAAAATAATCTCTGCTTTAAAAAATAGCACTAGTGATCTCCCTGATTTTGTCTTTTTAGAATTAAAATAATATTGGTCTGAGTGGTGTTTATCGTCTATTGAAATATCTGGAAAAAATGATTCCTCAGAAGCATTAAAATAATCAAAATAACATAAAAATTGCCGACACCATTTGATTGGGTCTAGTCAAGAAATTACGACATGTATGCAAAATCATTTGTCACCAGTATAGAGCCAGGCCAGTCTGCATGTGAGTAAAATTTTCATCTTAATATCCTCAAAATTGATTATGAATTGTTCCAAACTTGGAAGAAGGATATATCCATTTACAGCATTTGTCCCTCTACTTTGGGAATGGTGCCAGTAGCAAACAAATTCGGGAGATATTACTGGGGTTTTTCTTACCTTTAAATTTACAGATTTTGAACTGGAATTTTCAGAGTCTAATTTTTTATTGCGACATGGTACTGTTTTCCAGTATTAGTTATACATGTATAAGAGAAAAAACAGTTACACCCCTGATTTAAGAAATTCAGGAGATTCACGGTCAATCAAAACCAAAATCTACATGTCAACCAGCAGCAAAAGACACATACGTGTAGCTAACAACAACTTTGGGAAATTCAATACTCATAAATGTATAATAAAAACAATACTAACAGGTCTTCCATACTGAAATGAATGGGACAAATTTGGCCTGTTGTCTCACATATCAGCTGTGTAAAAGTTTCATCCTGATTGTTTTCCTGAAAGTAAAGAACAATTTGTGATGACAAAGTTAATTTCAGGCTAATGGTCATTAAGTCATTGTGTGTAAACAAAAATATCATAGGATTCCCTTTAGAAAACAAAAGAAAATCAACATCAATTATAGTATGCAAACAGAAGCTTATAAGTCAACCACAGATCTTCATAACTATTTTCAAGACCAATCATTATCATATACAGTATCTGAAAATATGATTTACAGACCTGTTAAATTTCTTGACAAAATACAAATGGTAAGAGTTTTGTTTGCATCATGTCTGTTTACCAAATAAAATGTCAATTTTCTTTTATTTATTCAGGAAAATTAAGCCTTTATTAAGGTACCTTTTAGTACCTTTCAGTTCTTGTTTGTGTCTTTCTGTATTATTAAAAAAAAAGACATCATGATTTTGTCAAGGTATCTTTAAACAAGAAACATGGCAATGCCATGAAACCAGGTTTTCAATTATCACCATTGTAGATAAATATGTTGTATTTGAAATACAAATACAAGCAACAAACAATGTAACTATGTGCAATGTAAAACATGAATAATGTAGGAGGAATTGCCACTGAAGAAGTGTTCACTATAATATTATGTATAAGGAAAAAAACAAAGGGCCATAATTAGGTCAAAAACTATCCAATCACAAAACCCCGACAATATGTGCCAGGGTGCTTGATGACAAAGCTTCTGTGAAAGTTTGAACAAAATCCGTTGAGAAATGTAGGACGAGTTCAGCACAGAAGAATTTGTTCACTATAATTATATTGATAATTCTGTATAATGAAAAACAAGTTACAAAGTAGACATGAAATAATATATCATATCTTTTTTAAATTACCTCCAAAGATAATATGACCTTTGACTGCCAAATCAAGTTAAAATCATGTAAACAGGATTTTCAATGTTAATGTCACTGTGACCTTGACCTTGGAGCCAGCCATGCGGAACATGCGTTCTGCACGTCATCTTGATGTGGTAAACATTTGTCTGAAGTTTCATCAAAATTCTTCAAAGGGTTGAAGAGTTACAGAGCGGACAGGATTTTCAATGTTAATGTCACTGTGACCTTGACCTTGGAGCCAGCCATGCGGAACATGCGTTCTGCACGTCATCTTGATGTGGTAAACATTTGTCTGAAGTTTCATCAAAATTCTTCAAAGGGTTGAAGAGTTACAGAGCGGACAGGATTTTCAATGTTAATGTCACTGTGACCTTGACCTTGGAGCCAGCCATGCGGAACATGCGTTCTGCACGTCATCTTGATGTGGTAAACATTTGTCTGAAGTTTCATCAAAATTCTTCAAAGGGTTGAAGAGTTACAGAGCGGACACAATTTCGTTTGACGCCCGCCCGCCCATCCGCCCATCCGCAGGATTTTCAATGTTAATGTCACTGTGACCTTGACCTTGGAGCCAGCCATGCGGAACATGCGTTCTGCACGTCATCTTGATGTGGTAAACATTTGTCTGAAGTTTCATCAAAATTCTTCAAAGGGTTGAAGAGTTACAGAGCGGACAGGATTTTCAATGTTAATGTCACTGTGACCTTGACCTTGGAGCCAGCCATGCGGAACATGCGTTCTGCACGTCATCTTGATGTGGTAAACATTTGTCTGAAGTTTCATCAAAATTCTTCAAAGGGTTGAAGAGTTACAGAGCGGACAGGATTTTCAATGTTAATGTCACTGTGACCTTGACCTTGGAGCCAGCCATGCGGAACATGCGTTCTGCACGTCATCTTGATGTGGTAAACATTTGTCTGAAGTTTCATCAAAATTCTTCAAAGGGTTGAAGAGTTACAGAGCGGACACAATTTTGTTTGACGCCCGCCCGCCCATCCGCCCATCCGCCCGCCATACCCCAATCTAATAACCAGGATTTTCAAAATTGAAAACCTGGTTAAAAATGTAGTTTACTCAAGTCTTTATTTTCATATAAAATACTTTTAAATTATTCTAACCATTACTGCCAGGATCAACCTTGTTCATCTGTTCATGTGTATATACAATTGACTGTTGACATTCACCAACAATAACAACAGGGTTTCCTTACAAAATACAGACCCTCTTTCTCTAAGAAATTGACCTACTTTCTAATTACACTGAACCCATGTAACAGCTAACTACACGTTTATAAATCGCATTATCCAAAAATGAACTAGACGAATTTTATGCAACTAAGTCGATATTTGTACACGCATTTTAGAGCACCTGTCAGCGACAAAGATTTAAAAGAAATAATACATTCAAACTGAGAATTACATATTAATTTCCTTAAACGCAGGATTATTTAAATAAATGAGAAATGATAGATTTTATCTTAATTACTCACAAATTAGCAATTTCCTTCAGAAAGGTCGGTTTGATTAGCATACGACATGAACATGTTCTTTGACACAGAATAATCGAATCAAGTGTACAGGGGATTGTCAATTTTTACAGATTTTCTGTACCATGACGTAATTAAATAACGTGATTATGATTGTTCAAAATTGAGATAATTAGATGTGCAATATATAATTCTCAAGTACAAATTTTAGTCTGTCACACACGCACCAGGGTTCTAAATTAAAAATAATCATAAAATAAACTAACACAAACTGCCCGAAAAATTATCAAAAAAAAATTTTCAGACACACCCCCTATACTTTCATCAGACACGACCCTTAGACTATCATAATGAAAATTATATATGATAGTATACGGGGGTGTGTCTGAAAAAAATTTGGATAATATTTCGGGCAATTTGTGTTAAATGGGTATAACGTAATTTAATTTATGATTATTTAAAGACTCTGGTGCCAGTGATTTCCGCTCATATTTACAATTGGCGTCATGTTTGGAAACAAAATAAGTAGGTACAATGTATGGGCGACTAAAAAACAGTGTAATAGTATCAGTGACGCCGCCTGATATTTACAAATGACGCCAACAGACCAAAAGGAAGGTAAATAATTTTTAGGGGATTAGTATAAGTTTGTTAGAGTTCTTCGTTGACGGATTCAAAGGAAGTAATTTTTCAGAACAAAAAAAATCAAACTCTTCTCAGTGATTACCTCCCTTCGCAGATTGTACGAGTGATCGCCCCTGGTAAAACAAATGGCGCCGAGGGGTCAAAGGGAAGTTATTTCAGGAGTCTGTCTGTGTAATCTCCATTTCAGGTTCAATTGAGAACAAAAAATACAAATTCTTCGCGGCGGTTACATCCCTTGATCAATACTTATCAAACTCCTCACAGCGGTTACGTCACGCTTTGCTACTTTGTTACTGTACTGATCAGGGGAAGTAACCGCTGCAAGGAGTTTTGATACTTATATGGCGCAATGAATGATCTCCCATGGTAATTACAAATGGCAACAAGGGGTCAAAGGGAAATTCATTCTGGGGATAAATATAAGTCTATATACATGATGTCCCAAATAATTTCAAATGATAGCAATAGTTTAAAGGGAAATAATTCTTGGATGATGAAAATAAGTCTGTTAGTGATCTCCCTTTCAGGGTAAAAAGGGAAGTTATTCTTAAGAACAAAAATAAAATTGTATGAGGGTTCTTCCCTGGTAATTACAAATTGTTTTGATGGGGTCAAGGAAAGTTATTCTGAGGATTAATATATGTCTGTATGTGTGATCTAACCCTGTTCAAAAGGAAGTATTTTTGGAGAACAAAATTAAACAAAATGATATGATTGGTCATTCTTGGCGATTACAAATGACGCCAAGTGTCAAGGGGAAGTCATTTTTTTTGGGAATATTTAAGTCAGTATGAATGATGTCCCCTGATAATTACAAATGACGTCAAAGTTTTATAGGGAATTAAGTCGTGTATGATGTATACACGTTAAGCTTCTAGGGAAACAATAAATTCATTAATACAATTACATATGAATAAGCAGGAGTCCATGTATAGAATCTGGAAAAAAAGCAGTTTCATGCCGATGTAGTTTCACTTGACTTAAAACGGGCTATGACTAATCGGACTAATCGGACAATTTAACCTTGGAACATACCATACGATGCTTTACTAATGCAATTAACAAATAGACTCGTCCGATTTAAAGGGTGGAGGGGAACACAGTGTATTTACTGAAAACGAAAAACTAATCTAAACACGCAAAATAACAATTATATGGTAGTTCAGATACAAGGTGTGATGAGTAATAACATATTTGTCGGGGTTTTTTAACCAAACTTTGATTCTTTTGTTAAATGATCACAATTATACTGTTTTCCTATCGTCTGCTGCTAGTAACTGTGTTTACCTCTATAAATTTACAGTAAAACTTCCTGATATCAAAAATGGCGCTGTCCATTGAACAAAATGGCACGCTCCATATATTTTCTGAATGCTTTGGATTTCTAGGTGAAATTTAATATCGGCACGTCTCAGTGAATTCCATCAAACATAGTTCTTCCTTCTCATGAGAAGGAAGAATAAGTCTGTAAAACGTGATGCTTGAATGGATAATTAATTTATTGAGAACATAATTAAATTTGTTTGAGTAATCTCCCTGGTAATTATTAATGCCGCCAAGGAATTAAAGGGAAGTTATTTTTAGGGATTGATATGTCTTTAGAAGCAATGCTCCCTGATAACTTGAAATGTCGTTATGGTTCAAAGGAAATTAATTATTGGAGGATTAAAGTAAGTTTTTGTAATGAAGGATTAAAGGGGAAGTAATTTTGCTCTATGTCCAAATGCTGTTGCCAATGCAATTGAATTAGTACAATATATATGACAACAGACGTCAGTGCTAGGAGGCGTAGGTAAGGGCACACATTATCCACTATGAAACCGATTATAAAATATTTCAAATATGGCTGTGTTGGACGACCTTCATAGTTCGCTCCTTCGACTTTTTTTTTCATTTTGGGTGAGCATTAAATAGACACAAATGTCGTTTGACTATAACTTATACAGTAAAAGATGTCAATGTTCCCGCATTCATAAGTTGGTAAACATATCTCAGATTTTAACGGCGCACATCTGAAAATGGGTTTCGTTATCAAATATCATATTATCTCTCTGGATTTATTGATTTCGATGCATGTATATTCTTTTGACAAAAACTTTTTTCGGAAAATCGAAATGTCTATATATCTGATATACTATATGGGTGCACATGATGATTTTCTTTATCATAACGCCTGGAATGTTGCCAAATGATATACAATATATGCCACGTTTGTAACTGAAAAATAAATCTTGAAAAAAGGAGACCCCCTGTATATTCAAATTATTTAACTTACACTAATCATGGGTGGAAAACATAGAAGACGGCGAAAACGTCCAGAGAAGCAAGAGTGGAGCAATTCATCTCTGTTTCCTTCTGGTGCCCATATGAACGGACAACCTGAACGCGTCAACATTAGTGAGCGGAATACAAACAGTGGATTTGTAAGATTGTTCCATGTCATTGGTTTACATAGAATACTGCCAGGAGGTCGAGTTGCGAGGAAACCTGACATTGTATTCCTGGTTCCAGTTGATGAGGAAGAAACTGGACGAAGACGAAGCATTCAGGCAGCAAGAAATGAACATTCAGGTACACAAGAAATAACTGATTCGCCACTACTTTTCATAGGATTCATACTGTATTGTTTATTCGTCTTGTATGTTTTGTGGATTGCTATGTACTAATTGTATGAAATTTTGTCAATATATTTACTTGATTTAATTTTTAAAAAAACACGGACTAATTAATTGGCTTCGGGAATATATTCATTTTCTGAAATGAATAAAATGCTGGACAATACTTTATCGCTACCTAAAATTGTTTAAGATTGTTTACGTGCAAAGATAAAGAAGGTTTGCGTTTATCAATTTTCCGAAAAATCACTCAGTATTTTCCGACTGTAACAGATTAGTAAGCTACTTGGTTTACCAATATTCTAAATATAGCAACCAATCGTTCCCCGATAACTGCATAATGAACTCAAGAGATGCTAAATTGCAAAATTTTGGAAAATACTTTTAAGATAAAGTGGTGTATAAAGAGCCGCTTGAACTGAACAAGGAATTAATTATATTTCAAACTAAGAACATTTAAGTATTGTTATAGGATGAATAGAGAAAAAAAGAAAGAATTGAATTTGGATATGTGCCGAAAGAATTCGGAAAGTAAACTCAAAAATAACGTTACCGGAGATGTTAAGCTAACATTGGATGCAGCAAAGAAAGATACACCCCGTCGCAAAGCAAGAAAGAGGAAATCAAAGAAAACCACAGATTCAACGAATGAATTGGCATCGACAAAACATAAGGACACGTCTACTAGTGGTGACCGAAAATCGACGGAATCAAAAACCAAGACCACAGCAGCAAAACAAAGTAACACACATGTATTGGAAGAAAAACAAAAAATCAAACCGGCAAAAAAGGTGAAGGTCACACCTTCGAAGAAAGAAGAAATCAAACTCCGGCCGTCAGAAATACGTTATTCACAATCGTCTATTTCGAAGCAATTTTCAGATGGCACAGATATTGGACAGTTATTAGATGATATATATTTCGGCCGATGTTTCGCTTCAGCTATTCCGCAAATTGAAATTTCAAAGCTGAAAGGAAAATGGGTTTCAGCAGACAACAGGCGACTTTGGGTGTTCAAGCAACTCGAGATTCTAGGAAAAATAGACTTCATCAATGTCAAAGTCTCGAGAAAAATTTATTATGGAAAACTTACGAGTGAAAATGGTGGCAAAAATATTGAAATACGAGGTGAGAATCCAGGTGGAAAATTGTTTCCTTTGATAAACAATGTGAAAACCGAGAAAATTGAAGATAGTTTGAATGAGGAATGCATTGTTTCAGCAATAGAAAGCTCACAAAAACGAAAAAGAAGAGGACGACGTAGATCTAAGATCAATAAAAAAGAGCAACAAAACACAGATTCAAATCAAAACGAACTAGTTAATAGTTCAAATTACTCCGAAACTAACACAAGTGGAATGAATGTATGCCAAGAAGCTAGAGAAATAGAAAATGAAAAATTACATCATTGGCAAGACCTTTCCGATGAATTAAATGATTTAACGTTTTATGACAGTGATGAATGGATAGATGATGACATTCCTTACACTTATCATAGTGATGATAATTATACATTTACGGAATATATACAGGATAATCCTTGGGGTGAATGCGAAAAACTTCTAAAAATGATTCAAGTCGAAAACGCGTTTGATGAATATAGTGACAGACAATCTACGTTAGCACAATGTGGCTCCGTCTGTTCAGATAGCTCCGACCTTTCGGCATATTTTGATGAAGTAACAACGAATGTGACAAACAACGACTTTTCCAGTAAGGTTTTCGAAATTCCAAGAAAAGAAAACATTCCTTTCTCGAAAAGTCTTTTTGAGGATCCGTCTGCGGAAACGGAAGTTGGTAT